TAAAGTTAATTACTCGAGACAGGGTGATAAAGCCGCGCGCACATCACTAGAAGCACAAACGCGACCGCGTAAATCCCCATCCAAACGTAATAGTACCATTTGTGAGAGGAGAAGAGAGAGAGAGAACATCCGGCATACAGCACGTTCCAATGAATTTACTGCGATAGAGGAGGGTACGAGAGTGTAACAAGAAGTAACTATAACGGACGACGTGCTTAGGTGTTATCGCGTCCGATGCATTCCACCTTCGTATTTATCGAAAGATTGGAGAGAGAGAGAGAGAGAGAGAGAGAGAGAGAGAGAAAGAGAGAAAGAGAACGAAAGCAGAGTCGCGGACCGCGGCAATCGTAATGTGTTCGGCGTCATTTATTTTCCACCCCCATCATTTATTTCCACGCGCGCATTTTTCAATCGCGCGCACGCAAAGTCCAAGAAATTAAAGTTAGCTGATTCGAGAGACGTTTCGTTTCGTCCAAAAAAAAATAGCCTACAGATCTTAATTCATAAGTGTCAATGATGGATACTAAAATATGATAAGTATATCGCGGTGAACTTTGTGTCTCTTTTATTCTCTCTTCTATATATGTGCATGTATGTATGTATCACATGCAGTGACGATACATTTAAAATGTATCTCGATACAGATACGTGTAAAAAAATATATCTAGATACAGATACAAATGCACAAATTAAAATGCATAGAGATACAGATAATCGGATACTTTAAAAGTATCTCAGATACATATCAGATACTTTTAAATTATATTTTATCATAATAATATGCACTGAATAAGTCTTTCGTGTAGCGACTTTATTCGTTAGTCTTAACATGTGAAAAATGTCTCAAAGATATCGTCGCTCAAACTATTTCGCCATGGTACTAAAATTTGATCAATGCTTAATAATCCTTCAACCGGTGTTGATGTCAATATATTGATAACTTGCAATCTTGATCTTTTAAAAATTTAATTTTATTATATATTCTCGACAAAATATATAGACAGATGTGCGTGTTACGTGCGAACCGCAATATTCTGAAAACATTTTTTCATATCTTGCACGAACTCTGTGATAATCCGTGCGAGCCGGACTACGGAAACAGCTTGCATAATCCAAAATGTAAATGCTATTACTGTCGTACCGTTGGAGAATCTCCACCATAGTTCGCACTCATATTGGACAATTTCGTATATCTCTTTCCGGAAATCCAGACTACTTTTTTCACGTTCTAATTGTACTCTGGATTTTCTCGATTTATAATAAAACAAAAATATAGATATATATGCATATAGAAGCACAAATGATTAATTAACAAACCAAATAAGTCGCATCTTAAAATAAAATAAATGATTCGTTGAAAAACTTTTGATGGGATTTAATAAATCACAATTCACACATTTCCTGTACAATTGAAAAAAATATATATCGACGAAAAGAGCAGCTTATATTAGAATTATGCACGTTATCGCGATCGAGATGCACAGCGAGAACGTATAATGGAATGAAAATCCGAGAGACCGACAACGAAATGCATGCATTAACGCTCAAAGTCCCCTCCTCTTCATCAGCCCTCCTTTCTGCCGTCAGATGCAAACGCATTAGCGCGCAATTAATTCACCGGTGTCCATTGTATCGCGTTCTACTGCGTATTAAGTTCATCGCGCTTGTAAATTCCACACAACACATACACAACACGAACCCGATGTAAAATAAATCATTGCGTCGAGAATATACATGCCGGTTCGAGAATCCCTCGTAAGGGTGCAAAACGCGACGACGAGGCATTCATATCGTATCATCGTTAAAATTGTTAACAACTCCACGGCTTCCGCCCGATGAAACTCAAGAATATATATATATATATATATATATATATATATATATATATAAAGCAGCTGATATTTTTTCCGCCGCCATCACAAAATGAAATGATACCAGTTTCGTGTAGGTCTAACGACCCGCAATAAGTTTCAACGCCCAAAGAATGGAACTTGATATAAAGCGGCACGCGATAAGAGGAACCCTCAAACGAGCCGATATTATTATTTATTAAATGAAGATTTATTAAGGTTTTCCACTGCTCCTTTTCTTATATGAAAAAATATTAGAGTAGAAGAGGAAAGTTTAAAATCGATCAGAGAAATTTCATTCCCCCAAGAAAAATGCTCTTCTCGTTTTATGAAGTAAAGCAATAACGAAGACAATTTCCTGTACTTGTCTCCACACCCTCGACTAATACTGATTGCCAGCGATATACTGTTTACCCTACTTCGTCAAACTTCCTGTAGACGCGCGACGTGGCCATAATCGGCGTTGACGACGTCGTTACGCAAGTTCGATAGAGTGGAACGAGAATCGAATCGATTAGATCTAAATATAATTCGATTGCCTAGGGTAAAAAAAAGTTCCACGAATTGTTACGCCTCGTGGCTCAAGCACGATGATCGTTGACATTCGATTCCGGATTGCGTTCGATCGAACACAACTTCAAGTGTCCACGAATTTAAAATACCGCGCGTGTGTGTCTTTTTCGTTCACAATCGGAGTAAGTTTTCGGAAGAGAGAAGAGAGCGCAAATAAAATTCACGTTTGTTCGTATTCGTTTAGATTTTCCGGTTGACAGCGGCAGACCAACCTACAAGTCAGTTTAATTAAAAAGTTACGCCGACCTACGCGAGCTCGAATTCTTAGCCGCGAAGCTTGGAACTTCCTGGAGGAATATTAAAGCGTAGGAAAAAGTAAACTTATGCTAAATCTGCATACATGCAAATATCGTGTAGAAAATACAGTTATGCTAAACGTGCCGCGTCAGCGTATCTCTTTAACAGGGAAGAAGTTATCTCAAATACGATTTGAAATTACATTCAAACGGCATGCGTTTATGATAAATAATAAGATGTAGCTAAGATTTGTGAAAAAATTGCAAACTTTCTTGTATTCATTTGCTCGCGCAGATCATTGAGTTTCATCGGATTAGGGAATAATCATGATAATTAGACAATTCCGGATTCGAAGCTGTGCTTCGAAACTGATACGCACCGATTGCATATGCATTGCCTCCATATTGCAAAGCGTAATTGCTTAATTGGGTCACAAATTACAATTGGGATTTGTAATTACCATGATTAAACAGAATTTTCTAATCGATTGCATTCGAAATCGTAAATTTTCGCCGTAAATCGCTATAATAATGAAATCGCAAACGTCACGGTGCAATGATACGCGTCGAGAGACACTCAGCATCCGATGATCGCGTATATCAAGCGAAAATAAACGCTCTCGATGAAAATTCTCCATTTCGTTGCGCGGGAATACGCGAAAAGCCAATTTTCCATAGAAATTTTTCAAAGAGAGCGACAAGAAGATGGAAAAGGGATATAGAAAAAGAGAGAAAGGGTATGGGAGAAAAGCGAAGTGCGGTGTGAATAAGTTTTCCTTGCATGAAACGCAAGTTTCGAGGTTGCCGGACAATCCCTTGATTCTGTTCTCTTATATGTACCACATGCCAACCGTAAATCAATTTTCGAAATTGTTTTCGCACGCCCGCACGCCTCGCTAAATTCGATTCGTCGGAGTACACGTACCGACGAAAACTACGACGAAAATCCCCGGTTCATAAAGAACGACCGATTCGCTCGAGCGGTGAAAATCTAGAGAAAGGCGTCCTAAACAGAGCGCCAGCTTCAATGTACTAGGTGAACAGCTAGTGAACAATAGTGAACCTAAACGTTAATTAATACTGAACAGTCTATTAATATTTTAATATATAATAAGACGATATGAAATATAACGTGCTCGTTATATTTTTGATCATTATCTTCTTTGTCACAATTTTATATATATATATATATATATCAGACTTTGAATTGTTTTTTATTACGTTTATATATTTTTCAAGATAATATAAATATTATTACTCCGCCTCTGCAGCATTAATTATACATATTATTTTACCTCAAACAAAAACGTTAATTATAAATAATCTAAAACATAATATACTGTTTGGCTGCTTTTATAACATTTTAATTATATACGTATATTCTTTCTCGAACAAATATTAATTATAATTTCACAAAGGCCGAGTATCAACGTTATAGTTCAGCGACACTCGAATTTATTCAACAAATATATGTATTTGTTAACGGAGCTTAAACCGTGTAATGCTGCCGCAATTATAACATTGGCCAGTTAAATTAATTCAGTCGACCAATCGACTGGCAAAGCTCAAACCATATTTTTGTCAAGCCATTTGTGCAAATTCGCGAATTTCACTTTCTCCGGAAAATAATTAATTTTCAACTTCATCTCGCGGGCGACGCGACGCCCAGGCATTATATCTCGGTGTTTTATACAAGTTAATATACATACACGTTTGGCAAATGGCGTCCGACAAGTTCAGTTGCGCCACTAATACCTGGCCAGTTCCATTTAGTAATTGCTACCTAACACGCTCGTCCAACTTATTACTGTCTAGGCGCTGTCTACACTATGGCGTTTCACTGCACCGCACCGACCGACTGCATGTATATTCATCGAGTATTGATTGCGAGTATATGGACATAGTAATGGAAATTCCGCCGATTCGCGTTAAAGCATTGCCCGATGCATCGTCAGTCAAAATACGCGTGCATATATCGAACAACAATTACACGCGAATAATATTAACCTAACGAGATGCAATATTGACATATAAATAATCGTGGAAAGCACACACACACACATATACATGGCGATATTAGACATTCATCTTCACAGCGGCAAAAGTTTCACAGACTTTACGAGTTTCTAATTTCCGAATTCTACAGTCTTTTAATTAAAAAGTCTCAATTTTATTTTAATGAGCTCGTTTATATTCGACTCCTCTCCGAACATCGCAGAATCCCTCGAGTCTCCTTGCCGTCGAAGATCGATACAGGAGATATATACGAGAGCGAGGATATCGCGGGATTGCTAGAGCTGACCGATTTCTAATAACACACACGTCTCTTTTCTGACTTCAGATATTGGAGCACGACAGGCAACGATCAGCAGCAGGTCGTAACCGACGTTCCGCGCGACAACAAGGCGGCGATCATCAACAGCATCGCCTCATCTTACTCCTCGTCGTGGCAAGTACAGCGGCCGAGGTACAGCGCAACTCCGATGCCACGACCTTCGAAGGTCACCGTCGACGGTGATAAAACGAGACAGTACAGCGAGACAGGAAAATCCGACTGGCCGTACTATCAGACATACAGGCGAACGGCGGAGGCGCAGAAGGCGCAGATCTACGAGGATATCCAGAGGAAGATTGCGAACGCGTCGAACGTGTCGAGTATCGGTTACTCATTCGCGAGTAACAACGCGACCAACAACCTGGCGGATCAGCGCCAGCACAGACTCCGGATGAAGCATCACGGACTGACGTCCAAGGGCAAGCGAGTTAGAACACGTGAGTTCAACAATCTCGAAATATAAATATATCGTATATTATTCGTCGTGTTCAATTTTATCATTCGCATCTCATAGAGTTATATTTTAGTGTTTTTTTTTTTTTAATATTTTATCTAGTGAGCTTTATCTTTTTGTATCTAGATATAGAGATATAGATACTTCAATTCGAATATTTCTCAGATACAGACTCGGATACACAAAATGTATCTAGATACATGTATCTAAATACTACCCAACACTGGTTGGATCGATATAGTCATCCTTGTTGATCGCCGCTAATCCGGCGAGAAATGATTACGGACATAATTCAAAATGTGTTTTTCGACCTTCGCTGGTATCTCCGCTCTTGCTATCTAATCGAGCCTCTAATTAACTCTTTAAAAGACACGGCGAAAACGGGAGTACTGAACAAAACCCCCCGATGCAGTTTTTCATTGACGGTAGCTAATGCAAAAGAGCTGAGCGCTCTCAATAGCCATATTTCCCGCGTAAATGATCAAAGCGCACTACCATGCTTTCCCTCTCTCTCTTTCTCTTTCGTCTTTCACATCCACGTTGTATCCTCCACCCTTTCTGTCTCGCGTTTGTCCCCGTTCCGGTTTCCGTGGCAAGTTAAAGCAGCCTTTTTCTCGCGTTTGCAAGATTCTCATGTATGCACGTCATAAAACAGTATGTTATTTGACTCGATAATAATATACATAACTAACAAATTACAAAATAATAGTAAAAATAATCAATATTTAATTTTATTCTTCTAGATTATTGCATTTTCCTTCAATTACGATTCTAATTTTTTTTTAAGCCGACGAGAGAATCGCCGAAGTAAAAGTAAAGCCAAAAACGCGTCTTTAAAGCTAGACCTATCTAGTCTCATTGCGGTCAACCTATCACAGTCATCTAGTTCCGACAATTTCCCTGCACGTCGCGAGATTAAACGTGAACCCGCAGACCCGCTCGAGCGGAATAATTGCACTCGTGATTCCAGGCGCACCTAGAGATTGCAAGGTCGGCGAATGGGGTCCGTGGAGCGCGTGCAGTCGCAGCTGTGGGGTGGGCGAGACCCAGAGGACGCGGAAGGTCACGATAAAGCCGCGCCGAGGCGGCACTCCGTGTCCGCCGTTGAAGGAGACCAAGTGGTGCGGCAGCGTCAATCCGTGCTCGGAGAGCAAGCCGATCATCGACTACCATTGGTAGTCATCGTCAGGGGTTTCCTTTCACGAACACGTGTACCAAAGTGACTCGTTCACGGACGAAAGGTCGCAAGCGGACGAGAGGACGGGTGAGGAGCGATTTATGCGAGAAATGCGCACGCAAACGGAACGGACGTGATCGGTATGAGAAATTTCATTAACGAAGAATGGATAATAAAGCTGAGAATATCTTTTATATCTCGATGTGTAATCGTTGACATGGCGCTGGGAATGTATTACTGTATGGGCTAATGCTTTAGAAAGGGAGTAGCGATTTGTGTGGTTTGACAATATATATTACAGAAAATTTTTCGTAAACGATAATTGATATCTTAAGGAAAAGAAGGACTGTTGCACAGCGACCATTGCCATCGGATGATACTACGTATGTTTATGCAAACGATCATGCACGACGTGTTTCGATTATGTGCGCCTCAAGTGACGTAATCTCTTGATATCATTTTTTTAATTACGATGAATAGTCGCGATTATTATATAATATGATCTCGCAACGAACAATTGGAGAAACGTCGTTGTTCGGCGATTTTATTTTACTCGCTTACATTTATCGTCGTTTGATGTTCGATACATATTACATGTGTATACGATATATATATATATATATATATATATATATATATATATTGCTTGCAGGTTCTCGAATATTGAAAACAAAAAGATTTCCAAAGAGAAATTCGAATAGCTGACTGGCATCGGATCGTGTATCACTAAAATGCGTTTGAGGCTCGATTTTCACTCGTCGGAGCACATGCCGTTTTGATTTTTTTATTTTCAGAGTAATTGAACAATCGAGCACTGTTTGTCGAATTTGTTATGGCAAAAAAAACCAACGTAAAAAAGAAAAAAAGAAGAATCTATCTGCAATAGATTCGTCTCGCTAATGCAAGGCGGATCTGCGAATTGTCTATTCGTATATATATATATTGTATATCGAAAACATGAAATGTCTGAGATTATGAAGTCATACCAAAGATCGCACACGTGTAGATTTTCTTCTACATATCAGAATAACCGGAGAGTCGCCGCATTGAAAATTAAATTAATTCCCGATTTTAACCCGCGTTGAAAGCGAATGTAACGATAACACGTCTCGATCTTCGCACGCGATCGAGAATAGAAATGAACCTCGGTATAATTGGAAAATTGATCCAACTTTCCGGAAGAGAAAAACGTTACATGCAATTAAGCTGATAGTTTAATCGCCCCGGTACGAATAATATACCATGATCGACGTGTTCTACATGCTCAGGTGCGAGAATTCCTCCGGTGAAATTTAACCGTCGCGTGCCATACCATAGTCTCGCCGAGATTGAGCCGACGTTTCTCTCGGAACCTAGTACGTTGCTTAGAGCGAAGTTTTTATCGGCCCGCTATTTTCTATCGCGAAACAAAAACGATCGTGTGCGAGATTTATATATAATGTGATGGAAACTCTGTTTAAAATACAAATAAAGTTAATAATCAACTTAACATCTTAATGAGAGTTTTTTTAATTTTTAAAAACTATTTTTTATACATATATCTATTCGTAAATTGTGTACATTCTCTATTTATTTTTTTGCCGTATTTTTGAAATCCTATACTGTTTACCTTTTACGGTATAAAGTTTTTTGTTTGAAATCTCCATTTCCGAGAGAATTCGCAAGATACGCATGCAATTTTTTTTCGAAACGTCGTGCAATGATCGAAAAGGTTGAAATATTTCGTGAGAAGAAAAAAAAATAAGATCGATGTCCGCGTAGGGCGTATCGAGTAAACGTCAGAGCGATTTTCAGCGCGCTCGTACAAAATCCCAGACAAGGTCGCGTGAGTGTTTTTCGCAAAACGTCTCCTCGCTCGATGGAGAATAACCGTGGAATGAAGCAAGAACTCATAGAGCAGGTGTTCCGCAAAATCGATTTTTTTCTCCACCGTCATTGAGAGTGCTACATCTTTCTCTCTCCCTCTCTCTCTCTCTCTATCTCTATCTCTATCTATCTATCTGTCTCTCTCGTGACGTGTGGTAGGAAAATTTTTACAAAGATATCATCAGGTACGTCTTAGGTGAGTGTATTATATCTTAGATATAAATTTAACGATAATAATTAATAACTAACGTCTAATTGTAACACTCGTTAATTATTAGGCCCATATTAATCGCGTCCGCGACGCGGAATTCGGCGTTGGTTGCGAAAAATACGCGCAGCTTCAGTTGTAAGAATGAAATTGAGCCACCCCCTGTAGAGAACGGGATGGCTCCCATAAATTTAAAAGTGACTCGACGCTGAATTTCCCACGCGACGCACGTCGACGCACGGCTTGTCCTTCACGTTTAGCGTCCGTAGCCGCTATTCTCACCGAATATTCAGTGCTAAATGCCCGATCGTTGTGAAGATATCGATATACTATTGAATAAATTAAATTTAAAAAAATAGCCATAATTTGTGCCATAAAATTGCACAGTCGCGTTTAGCGCTAAACACGCAGCGAGAATAGAGGTTTGCGTAAAGCTAAAGCTGATATAATTGTATAACTTTTTTTATACCCGAATCTCTAAATGTTAATTTCGACACGAAAATGAACGAAATATACATATAATATATATTGTGTGCCCGTTACTATACGCTGCCATAATAGAAAGAAATAACGTGTAAATTTTCAAAATCAATTTCGTGCGTGACGCAACAATAATGATTTTTCCTGCTACGTTGGTTCTAGCGAAACATAAAATAAGCACGTTATGAAAAATAATGGTACGAGCGCGGAGATTGTAGCGTACTGTGCAAATTCGCAGACCGTCGCGTAATATCTGTACCTATCTACGTTTGTTCATATCGCGCTGAAACTGAAATGAAATAGGCTAATCGTCGCGATAGTGACGAAAGGAGATAATTGCGTAGACAAATTTTCAAATTGCCGCTTGGCATCTCATAACGCTTCGGTAAGTATCTTGAAAATGTACGATAAATTTGCGCGTTACGCAACACCTTTCGACAATACTCATATAGAGTAAGATATGGTATATCTTTTTTACACACAATCGTCTTTGCTCTTAGACTTTTTTTCAATATTCAAATTGCTGAAGCCGTTTGTGCAAATCTCTGAATGGAAGAAAAAAGCCTTCGTAAAATCAGAATAATAATAGCTACCGAATAAGATCTGAATACAAAGACAGATGATAATTCTCGAAATTTTCTCTGAGGAAGGGTCGACTTCGTCGGAAAATTTCTTGTTAAAATCACAATAGTCCAGCACGCATTTTACAGAGAAGATGCATTTTGCTCTCAACCTATCTTAAAAACGGAAGATAGAAAGTGCACGCGGCGGGAATACAATCTTAATTACGGTGGTACTTATAATACTCTCCTCCCCTTTTTCTCTCTCTCTTTCTCTCTCTATTATGTTAAAACCCGATCGTTCGCGATAATTAGCTGCTGATCTTCACCGGAGAGAATCCCTTGGAAGCCGTCGCTGGCGGCGAGAGCGCGCGGTCGAAATGAAATATCAGACCGAGTTAATCCCCGAGACGAAAACCCAACCGACATATTGTAAAATCTTTCATGGAACAATACCGCATGGCGATAAGAGAGAAAAAGAGAGAAAGCTCTTTTCATTTTCCTCTGATATATATATATATATATATATATATATATATATATATATATATATAGGTATATACAAACATATATACATAGATACATATATGTATACAGGCCCAGAACTGGCGTAAAAGTTTTTAATGGCAGATTCCTGGTATCATTTGGAGATGATTTTTCCTTAAGGAAAATGTTGAGGGAGGCCATCATTTTTAGCATGTTCCCAATTCTTGTTATCTTTATAACTAAGCCTTGTATTAAAATTCTATTAAAGCGAACTCTATCTAAAATTAATTTTATCTCCACTTAGGCTTAGTTTCCAATTTAAGCGATGCTTATAATTCGAAAATTATTGGTGCCTCGACATTTTCGCTGAGGAAAAATCGTCTCCTAATGATACCAGGAATCTGCCGTTAAAAAGTTTTCCGCCAGTTCTGGGACACCCTGTATAATATATACACATATATATATATATATATATATATATATGTATTAATGTATATATGTATGTATAAGAAAGAGGGCCGAGCCGTTGCCGTCTCGCAGTTTTAGATGCATTAAGGATAAACGTTTTGTAAACTAAACGGGAACGCTTTCGTGAGAAACGGGGGCTTCTGTGACACGGAAAGAGGAAAGGAGCGAGTGTGCTTTTGTGAAATAACGATGGAAGTCACTGTAAATTCATTATTGTCGGATAAAAGTATTTGAGTTCGGTGCAATTGAATCAGAGAGTTCGTTTATCCGAGATCCGGGATAATTCGAAATGCAATTCTTTTCTTTATCCCTTGATTGAGCTCGATCGCAAAACTTTGCTCTTTCGGATGCAATCTGACAATGAGTATCACAAATATATCTATCGTTATATATACTTCATCATATATCTGAGTAATTACGATTGCTCTGATTCATGTTAATTTTGTAAATTAATTATTTTATTTGTGTGCAAAATTTGTTTGTTCTCTGTTATTAAAAGAAAGAACAACGATAAATCGGAACAAACTTATTTACTTATATAATTTACCACTTTTTTCTGTCTTGAATTTTATTGACTGAATGTATTCAATTAATACAAATAATATGCAAATACATATTTTGATCCTTTTCTCTTTCGCGCGTTTCTGGTCTACGTGACAATGACAAATCAATGACAGATTAATGGAGGAGCTAAGTGGAGTGCCACGATGATTATTCTGTACAAGTCACTGTGCATTCTAGCCCTGTAAGGATAGCCGATAGGACTAGCGATTAAGCCGAAGCATATGTACCGATGTATAACACATAAGTTTATATTACATAATAAAATGTGTCGAGAAAATAAGCGGGCTCCCTTCTCGATCTTCGAATACATAATATTTTTCACTTGCGACGTATGAATGGTATTCGTATATAATAAAGTAGTAATTATTTCAGGAATCGTGTAATCCTCTCTCTCTCTCTCTCTCTCTCTCTCTCTTTCTCTCTTTCTCTTTGTTACCCATTTTTATTCTACATGATAATCACTCTACTTCATTTTCTGAGATTTATATTTCAGAATATATATAGAATAATTTCATTGGCTATTAATATGATATAAATCATATTTTAAATTACAAGAAATAAATAAATCATTTTTGTAAAACGCGTTTATTATTATCATGCACATTTGGGAATCATCTGCCAAAAATCTAATATAATTTCAAACACTTCCACTCACGTTAAAGGCCTTTTTTCAAATCAAATGTTAAAGAATGAGTCTTTTATCTTTTCGCATTTTAGACATAGCGAAGATTTTTTATGACAATCTGTCAGACACCATAATAATAATCATTGTTGTTATATTACAAAGTCGATGGAAGAGTCTTGACGACGAAAGCCACTACTGTAAGTATGCAATTACATCGTCATAAGTATATAACCACGACGGAAGTGAGCAATTTCGCGTCAAATTATAAAACCGAACGAGTTCTATCTCTCGTCTACCATTTTCCACCCTACAGATCCATCTCACTACCGCATCGCCGCCATGATAAAACCGTCGGTGATGGTACGTAAATTCACGCTTCAAGGAAATCGATCGTTACGGAGATAGCGTTCTCCCCCGCATAACAGCCTTTTAACAGTGTTACTCTGAAATTTTACTCTCGCGTAAAATATTCTATATATGTATAACATACACGACTGAGAGCATACATATATATGGAAAAGTCTGGATAGAAAACACCACTGCAATTCGTTTAATTTACAATACATTGGCAAAAAACTTCTGGATAGAAAAAACTACTGCAATTCGTTGCATTCATAATACATAAAATACAAAAAATTTCTCTAGCAAGTGGGCGTCTCGATTTTTCTCAAACCATCATCTCGTGATATTTTCGTTTGCAATAAATATTCATTACAAATGTATCGAAGACAATTATCGAATTTATTTGAATTTTCACGGCCTATATATAAAAAGACTTCGAAGTCTTATAAGAATACAAATTATATGTAATTTTACAGAAATAATGTTAGAATTTTGAAAAAAGAGAATAGCTTCTCTCTCTGCAACTTTTATTTTGAAAAATTATATTTAATAGACAAAAAGAGAGAACGCAGGAATTTGAATCTTATCGCTCGAGAGGATCAATATTATTATGTCTATTTACTTGCACATTTATTTTCTCAACGTCCGTTGAAAAAAATACTAACTAATCAGCAATAGTATTATTTCAATAAAATATATGTCTTACAACTATATATAAATATACATACATATTTTTTTTTACTCTGTAAGAATGAAATTTAATAATTTATTATAATTATAATTATAATTGTAATTATCTTTGTAAAAATCTGCTTGAAGATTTAACTATTATTAATAATTTATTAATTAAATGATATTTTAAATTTGTTAATTAAATATCATATATAAAATATAATGTAATTTGTAACAGTATATAGATGTATTGCATTTGTTAATTAAATCCATTTAATTCATAATCATTTTCCTCGCAAAATATCCGAAGTATATATATGTATACTCCGTCTGCATACTCTATTAGAGAAGTCTAACAATATTCCGAATCTGTCATAATTAAATATAACTGTCTGAATATCGAATAATATGATAGCGTTCGCCGAAGATAGAGAATCACGTCAATCGAGATAGACAGCCTTTCTAACATACTTGGAATAACAAATGCGAAAAGCCGAAAGCGGCGGTATTGTTAGCTTTTGTCGAAGCAGTCGTTGAACCCGCATTGAAATCCATTTTTCACAAGTAGCTCGCTATTCTTGCTTACCGCCGTCCAAGACCAGCCGGCATCATTCGAAAGCGCATGGAGCGCAGCAGTTCTATTCATCTTTCACTGCTGCCGGTGATTCTTTGCTCGGCGGACTTGTATCTCTTTGCTCCCCTTGCGCAACACTCGACGGACGAGAATCCAACGAGCGGCGGTAAACCACCGAAGAGAGCCAAGCTATATATGTACATAAGTCGTATCCAATTCTGACTCTGTGTTCTACACTCCTCTTTTCTTTATTTCCTCGAATCTTCACTTTCTCACCGCCTTGTGATGTACACTTTATTATGTCGCATATTTCGCAAAAAACCAAACTGACAAGAAGAGCTCTCTTTCTCTCCTCTATCGTTTCTCCTCCCCGTCTCAAGTGAATAACGCTCGGAATAATATTTTTTTTTCAAGAAACACGGAGAGTTAATAAGGATACGCTCTTTGGACAATTGCATTTACTGTTGGCTTATCTCTCTGAAGATTTATTATTTATTGCGAATATATAAATAAAATATTTTGCGTACGTTACAAAAATTCAGTACTGACAGTTCAATTAATTTTCGAGAAATAAAATTAATTTACTGCCAATTACTATTAATATGACTTTAAAAAATATATATGAAAATTGGAATATAAAAATGAAATAAAGTTGAATAATATAAAAATATCTTTGAAGTATTTTTATTTGAGAATAAAATGACAGAAAATAAAAATAATGTTGCATATAAAAATCACAAGATAATACGATAAAAATAATTGGATTGATTAATACGCAATCAATTCGCCAATAAAAATATCCAGAATAATAATACGCGTCTTTCTATAAGTTTCCTTATCAACGCTCCGGTCTTCACGGAATTGCAGACGGCACTAATAATCGTCCCAACGGGACGATTCTACCCGTTCGTTGTTATCACGCAACATTACCCCAAGATAAAGCGTTCGACGCAGTGATGGCAATGGCGCTACTGCAAAACTGCAGGGAAAAGATCGAAGTGAAGTCTAATAGAGTCTAAATAGAGTCTAAAGTCGTATAATAATATTATACAATTTTCATTAAACCGTACTAACCATTTCTTGATAATATAATTTCTTTATATAATGCTTATTATAATTTTACATTTATTTTACTGCTCAATTTCTTTACAGCCTCCAACTCGAGTCTCTAATTAAACTCGAAACTAATATTTCGCGAAACGTCATTATTGTTAAAAAAGAATCCGTGATATTTTTTACGTAATAGAGAAAAATAAAATCATTAAATAATCATTAAACTATTTGCATATTTTAATAATAATCCAATGTTTCATCCATAATTTCATACTACTTCAAAATCTATTATATCGATAAAATTCTTCTCCCAGGGCGACCCTGAATTTGACTCTCATAGTCAAGCCAGCTGTGCTTGTTATCACGCAACATTACGCCGAAATAAAGGACGACACGTCGGATAACATTTGGGGTGGTGTGAGAGATAGATACAATATCTAGAAGGCGTGTGATTCTCGCAACCCTTCGCGGATAAGAGATACGTAGATAGGACTAGCCCGTCCCTTCACGACTAGCACATGGACTAGCGATATATAACCCCCTCGCACAAACAAGAGTCAATAGAGCAGCGCACCACGTATGTTGCTATTGCGGGGTTGAGTGCTTTGGACAATACATAATGATGCCCCAAAGCCGTATACAAGCCGATAAGACCTATTCATCGGGGAGGATCGAAACTCGCGCTTCATCCCTCTTTTCTGGAAATCGAAGAACTTGTGTTTGTTCATGGC